GGATGTAATGAACATAGTCCTTTCCTTTTCGATGCACAAGTCTATCTATGTCCTCATCGCTTTATATCGCTTAATATGTACTTTGGAAAATTTAAAATTGATTTCGTTCAACAAAACTTGGTTTGATAACTTTACTTTTTCTTTAATATTTTTGTTATTTTATTTTTTTCTATAATATTATATGTAGTATTATATGTAGTATTTATGTATAATTATTATTGTAGTTTTTCCAATGTATTTGTATTGGTACCTTTTCTGATTCTTGCACTATTTTTCTTCTATCGTTTTAATTTTCTTTTCTTTCTTTATTTGTTATATTTTAATAATTTTTTTTTTATTATTCGAAAGGTTGAACCGTATCTCGTTTCTAGAAATCCTATTATGACGAAATTGCTTTTCAAATGTGAAAATTTTTCATCACGATAGGATGTATTCCGAAGGTATTATGACGGGAAAACTCATGGAATAATAGACTAGCTCACTACTAATTCACAATAGGCACTGTCTACGGAATATACCAGAGACATCTACATTAGTCACCGAATGGATCCTGTTCATGGTAGATAATAGTCGTCAAAAGTTTTACTTCACAATACAGAGGAGATATTAAAGCCTTGTCATTCAAAGGAATTGAATACATAGAGATTAATAAAAATTTATGTGAAAAATTCTATGAATCATCACGAGATCGATATTTTTTTATTTCGATTGTTGATAATTCGTTTCGCGATACTTTAAATCCTTCTTTTAAAACATTATTATCGATAGCATTTTCTACTCTTTTTGTCTTTTTCTGTTCGTCGAGAAATCGATCAAAGTTGCAAAGAACATTTAATGTTATAACTTAATATACGTAATACTTACGAGAAACGTCAGAGCCTTTATCCGTCTTATATCCATTTCTACCTTAGGCTTCCAGGGCGATGAAGCGAGAGAAAACATGGAAAAATCTCACGGACGCGAGCAAGCAATCGATCATACGACACTCGACACGTTTGTTTTCGCTTACAATGAACGTTCCCGTAACGATTGCACGTCTCAGGCAAAATTTCTTGCGCGGTACAAGAGAAATAAGTCAAGGCCTCTTGAGTCTTATCTACCAGTGCACGAAACTGAGAAACTTTCCGCGGCCATGTTTCAACTATACTACATCGCGTTACCACGAAGCGCGTCTATTCTACAACTTTCTAGACGATGCAATCGTGCCTTCGCGCAAAAACAGTTGGAAAAATCTACACTAATAAACTGTTAAACTTTTTTTATATCATTTTATACTTCACAATTTCTTACTTTGAAGAAAAATCACTAATTTATGACTTTTTCATCTATTTGATCATGTGACATATGATCACGTGACTATTATGGTGTTCATCGATAATTGTCAGTAGACCTGCTAGTGACGCCTAGTGGACATCGATGATAAACGGATATATGGTAATAATCGATCCGAAAGGTACATTTTCACGAATAAATCCATGTTATTTGATTCGTTCTAACATAATAATTCAAATATAGTAATATTTAATATTATTTTTATCATAAGATTCTTAATCTGTTTTAAACAATTTTATAATAATAAAAAAAAACCAAAAAGGAAAATTATTTTTCCGATTCCATTATATGTATCAATATCGCTCAAAAAAATTTAATAATTAAAAGAATATATTATAATTATAATTATATGCTAGATATTCATATTTCTTTTGTACTTTCTTTTTGAGTTTTTTTTTTCTAAAAAAAAATATTTTAGCGTTATAAAATGTTAATGTCAGGAATATTTCATGCCAACACCTAATAATTTAGATAATTAGTACAATTAACGATAATGTTTAAAAATTATTTCCAAAATATAATTACATTCAATTTTTGAAATAAAAAAAAATCTTTTTAAAATTTTTTTAAAATTAATTTGTTCCTTTCTTTGTGTTTTTAAATTCAAATACGTCAAAACATAAAATTACAATTCCGCAAGCACGTGGCATATGCAATTGTGCAAATATAAAAATCTTAATTAGAATAACAATCAGAAAACTTTGACCGAAACATATAAAAACGATAAATACATACGATTATCGTTGAATTTCTGCATTCCATTAACAAAATGATCAAAATAATTTTATATTGCACCAGATCGTCGTGTTAAATCGGCTTTGGAAACATCGAAAACGAACGAAGTGAATCGGAAACAACAGAATGAGCGAAGGTCTACGTCAGGTGTTTCGAACAAATACAGAACGAGATTTAGAAAGAGAGGGACCATCGAATACGGAAACATTGGCGCGAATAAACGTTGTGGTAGGATGAGAGAGGTTGCGGTAGGACCTTGAACCTGTTGCGTAAGAAGCGGACTCAGGTTTGTTCAGGAAAGTTTCGTTTTCACGGAAAGTTGTAACCGATGAAGTATGGCGCAGTCGTAAAATCGGTCATTGTCGTATTATAATTATCCTATCTATTTCTACCATATATAATTGCATATATATTTAAAGTAAACAAACGTTACTTTTTTGTGTTAGAAACTAAAATTTTAATTCATTTATAATTTTTACGAGTAAACATATTTGCGATCAATAATGATATGATTTTGCAAATGGTAAAAATAGTAGGATTGATCATATGAAAAAATA